ACGAGTACAATTTGCTGCTGCATCGTCAACTCTTCGCTGCGTATGCGATCTGTGCAGATGCCGATAATGAGTACGTTCAGAATTGGTATTACGGCCGGACATAGACAGCCGTCCATCAGAATATACACTTTGTCATCGATGTCGTCCTCTGCATAGACGATGCACTGAATCATCAATGTCATATTGAAAATACTTGAGAATATTCCCAAATAGATTGCAGCGGGAAACCAGGCGATCTTCTCCTGTATGAACTTATGCAAATTATTGATGCGTAAATACAGTTTGAAGAGCCACAACAGACGACGATGGTAGCGGCCAGATATAAAACTTTCGTTCCTGTTATTATCCAAAAAGCGCTGTAAGACGTAGTTTAAATTGCGATACCAGTTGAGCAGAAGCAACTGATAGATCAAGTAGCCAAAAAAACAGTACTCCAGCAGAATCCAATATAAGAAGATGATCCAAAATGTAAATCTGTGCCACAAGGCATCCAACATGATATACATGAAACACATTTTGCAAGAGTATACGCACAATAAGGACATTTCGACGTGATATTTCATGCCATACTTCTTCTCAATTGTGCAGGTGATATAAAATATCTCGTTAAGCATATGCATCATCACTTTGCGATCGGCCTCCGAATGCAAAAAGAAGAGAATGCGACGAAATACGTATAGTAGGATACCTTGTATGAGCAGATTCATCGTGTAGCTCTGTCCCTCGGCATTGTCGACCTTCGAGAAGCATATCCATATCGCTAGTCCCAGGACCAAATAATGCACAATATCATGCAACAGAAGCAGACACTTAACAGCAACCACTATTTTCGATATCATATGGTTATACTGAGTGTCCTCCATTCGCTGATCCGTTGCATTGTAGCGCAGCTTGAAGAAATGACATCCACGTGCAATGCCATAGAACAGCCAGGCCGTATACCGAAAAATTTGACGGTAGACTGACTGCCCAAGTCCTCCCCGCTTCAAGTGGATGTCCGCCGTACTCAGCATGGTCAATGGTCAATGAACGTATGAAAGGCGAATTGTGATGTGTATGCGAAACGTTTTGGGCGAGTTTCCTTTATTTATGTGTTGGCCATTAACAAGCAAATTAATCGAAATGACCTAGGCAATTGGCATTCAATGCTCACATAACATTTAGTTGAGGTCAAAGCTGGGCCCATGAGAAATCAATATTGAGTGAAAGAGAAAAACTATAGTTCATGGTAAATATATATCGACAAGTTGAATTTAATAATATATAGTCGATACCGTGTCATTACAAATACTTGAAAGAAAATTTCTTTATATATTTCTTTTACCATAAAATAAAATCCCTTTTTCAAGATCATTTTATGATTATCTTTCTGCGGATAGATAAATTCTTTTCTATATTACAAATTACGATATCAAGACTCAAAAATCAGTAGGGCACAAGAACTCCTTCCAAAGATAAAAGAGCATTTACTTACCTTACAATCAACCTGCATTGTACACCTTTGCTACAAAGCCACAATTCGCTTCGGTTAAACTGCTCTAATGGGTGTGAGAGGGCAGGAAACTGAAAATCGAAAGCAACCCTCGGTGTGCAGCATTTGCACACGATACAACAAACAGCAACAATAACAACAACAATTACAAAAGCAAAGAACAACAATGAGATGCCTATCGAAGCCTATAAATAAATTTGCCATAGCCAAGTCAAAAGCAATATACAAAAGGCAACAAACGGCGAAAATATTTGAAAATTAATGCAAAGACATACATATACACACACACACACTCAGGCAGAGGGCAAAATACGCATACGCAGTGTATGACGACAGTATAAGATAAGGGACTGAGGAAAAGCAATAAAAACCGTCAAGTTGGCAACATTGACGGCATCGAGTGGGACGAGCTGAGTATAACGCTTTACGACCATAGACGATGTCAACAAATAGCGCAAATACTGGCACAGCGAACGTGGGCATGGGCATCTTCACCTGCGGCCTAAAAGTATGCAATAAAAAGGCAGCCGCTATCGTCGCAGCCATTGCGACTGTCGCCGCTTTGCATTAGTCCTGCGAGAAAGGACTTTGGCTGCGTTTCTTTTGATGCCCTGTACAATGTGGTTATCGAACGAACGATACATATAATCAAAATGTGTATGAAATATTTTTCAAATATTGGATATCTAGAAGAGAATCTCAGCAATTTGAATTCTTCTTCTTCTTGAATTTATTTTTAATAATGCAGAAATATTTATGAACTAATATTTTTTAAGATATGCTGCATGAAGTAGAAAATGGAAAGTCTCAAGAATTTACACTGAGCTTGATTAAGTTAAATCAATTTTTTTTAATTACAATTTTTTTCAAATAATAATTAAGGTTTCAAGCTCTCAATTAAATATGAAATTAATTTAAAATTATTATTCTATATTTATAAAATATCTGCATTAACCAGAAGCATTTCGATATTTTTATTATTTTTTTTTTTTTTTTWTTYTAAAATTATATGATCCAGAAAAACGAAGGATCTACCATACGGCATCAACGTCTTCTATCACTATTGGTATTTACTGTTCTTACTCTGTTTGCAATGCGCTTTTAATTTGACCGCGTCTGGCGGCAACGATGGCGCTGCCGACGACGACTTTGGCGTCCTTTTCCTTTGCCAGCGCAGCGGCGCAGAAACTTAATTTTCCCACTGTAGCTGCTGTTGTGGTTGTTGCTCTTGTTGCTGCTGCTCTTGTTGTTGTTGTTGTTGACTTGCGTTTTTGCATTGCAGTGCAAAGTTTGCGAGTCGCTAAAACTTTAGCCATTTCTTGTTTTTTTTTTCGTTCCTTTTTTTTTTTTTTGGTTGCAACAATTTCCAGAACGAGGCTATTTGTTGCTTCGCTGGGCCAGACGACGGCAACATCAACGAAAATGTCGCCAAAAACCAATCATTTCCTTTATTCTCAGACCATCGCCTGCCGACGACGACGACGACTCTTTCTTTACTATCTCTCAGCGGATGTCTTACTAAGAGGGCAACATTTTAATATACTTGTGGATGGCAGCCATTGGCTCACTGCCATTTACAGCGTCCTCCCATGCTCGCTCTCTCACTCTCTGTGTGTCACGCAATTTTCTTACTAAAATAAATTTTATTTCGCTTGGTTTTTGGTTTCGCCTCGGCGTCGTTTTTCATTTCATCGAGCGGACGGGAGCGCGCGCGCGCGCCCTGTTTATGAACTGCTSTGCCCTTAAATTGTCTTTATGCCATGGGCCAACTGCATGCCACTTAGACGTTGTCTTTTGACCCAGCCTGCTCGCTGTTTAGCTTTCCTTCATTTTCTTTTCTACTTTATTATGTGGTCCTGTTTCACGATTTTCCCTTTTTCTGTTTTTTTTTTTTTTTGCTAATATTTTGCGTTTTTGGCAAAATGACATCCTTTGGGTAAGCTAGCAGTGCCCCGAAATTTTTACTTAAATTTAGTTCTGTGTATTTTCGTGACTCCTTTGGCCCGCTGACTGCATACTTTACCGTACTTTCCTCAGGGAAATTAAAATGTGCTCAGAGAATAATTTGAGTACATTTGGTGGCTATTGCACTTCCTTTTTTATGCCTTTTAGCAGAGGTACACAATGGGGTATTACAAGCGGTTCTACAATGGATTTTCTATGCCCGCAAGAATTTATGTTTTGTTAAATAATCACAAGCAATATAATAAAATGTATCCTTACATTTTGCGATATGAACCAAAAAAAAGGGAATAATATGTAAGCTAATAATATAAATTAAACCACAAATATATAATAAAATAAATATGTTTACAATTATACAATTATAGTTATAAATGTAAAATAAATGTAAATAAATATTCAGAGAAATAATTACCTATAACCAAA